AGCAATATTCCAGCTGTATTCAAGCTGTATGGCCACCATCAGCAATATTCCAGCTGTATGGTCACCCTTAGCAGTATTCCAGCTGTATGGCCACCATCAGCAATATTCCAGCTGTATCACCAATGGTTGACCACCAGGGTACAACATGACACACAATCAGTCGTCACCCGACCATCCAGTCCCCATTTATGTCAGCCTGTTTTAATAATTCTAAGTGGTGCCTTTTGCTTATAGCCCAAATATAAGTCACAAAACCAAACCAAAGATATATCTTCAAAAAGAATTCCATCTCCTAACCATATGCCCAAATGTTATCTCTAAAAAGAACATTTTCTGCATTTTTTTCTTCAAATTTCTTATTGTATCAATTTCTTGAGGGAAGTCATCAAGTTCCTGTTATCCTTCCTGGACACAGTGGTGTGGCTTTGGAACCAATAAATAATCAAGTAATGCCATTGTTAAACCAGTGGTTGATAACATGAGCATCATTGAGGTAGGTCATGCAAAATCTGTAAGTACCACATCCCCATGTCAGCTTCCTTACTAGCATAGTGTGCTGGGGATCTTGTATGCCCAGGAATTCCCATGCAGTAATTTCTTTGGGACCAGAGGAATAAGTTCACAGGAAACCCACAATGCCAAATAAACCCCCCATAATTCTCAGGAAAGCCACTATTCCACTTGAAACCCACAATCTCACAGAAATCAACATTCCCACTGGAAACCCAGAATCCAACAGGAAACCTACAATCAAACATTCCAACAGGAAACCCACAACCCAACAGGAAACCCACAATCCCACAGAAACCCTCAATCCCACAAGAAACCCTCAATCCCACAAGAAACCCTCAATCCCACAGAAACCCTCAATCCCACAAGCCTAGGGATTGAAGGTGTGAACTCTTAGAAAGTAAGTTTTTTAAAGTTTTGGTAAATTCACAAATTTGATTCTGGTGCATGAAAACATAGCAACTGAATTTGTTGAAACATTTCCTTAAACAAACATCCAGAACAACCAGCCCCAAACATGAGAGCTTCACCACATTATGTTCAATGTCTGCTGCTAACACAACAATGTCATCCCTCAACAGTTGGCCAGACACAAACTCAAACCCTCAGCTCTTGATTAAAGACAAAAGGCAAATGTTATCTGTTAGTTTTTTTCCACTTGGCACACCCTTGGCACCAGTCATTAGGTTTAAAGTACTATAAATAAATCCGTTATTAAATGATTCCATGTCACAAACCGCAGGCCCCTTACGACCACGTTACACATTTACACAGCTGCATTAGCCAACTTTGCCGCCAAGTCAATGAAGCCATGCTGTCAACAATTATTTTGGGAAACCCAAGTTTTCTCTGAAAGCATTTGATTAAATATGAGATTTGCCTGTCAGCAATTTTATAATAATTTTAACCCACAGGTTCGGATTGGGTTCTTTGTAAACTACTTTCTCAAATACAGAGTTTAATTTCACTTTCTTTCGGTAACCTGGCCCACCACTGGTGACACTTGGCTTGTGACCCACGATCTCACCATTAACTAGATACAACTAAAACATAAACTAATATTCTTTTACCTGAACCTCCCAACTCATATCATGCATGTATCTTGAAAGCTGGGGCAAAGAAAACTTATTGGATGTCTTGACAAACAGTCACAATATATTACCACTTGTCAATTACATGCTATCTGTGTTGCACCTGGATTGGACTGGAGGGATTGTTGTATTACTAATCACAAATCACACAACTTCGACATCACCTATGATCCATAAAAATAGCAATTTCCTTGAAATCCAAGTTAAAACTACTGAGAGATGAGCAAGGGATGAGCACCGTAGCTCACCTGGATATGAACTTTAAAATGGACATAAATAGCTTTTACAATATGGCTGATGAGGCCGCCATATTGAAACTGGCATTAGAACCTCTTGAACACATTCAACTGTCATTTTTTCTGGAAACTTGCATGTGAAGTTAAAGCTACATTGCTTCAGTGGTTTCAGAGGAGATGATGTTTGACCATGCAAGGGAAAACAATTTTGAGAGAAGTTTGAAGCACGGTCAAAGTACAAAGGTCAAAGTACAAAGGTCAAAGTACAAAGGTCAAAGAAAGATTACAATACAAAATATCGTGAAAAAACGGAAAATATGTTTTAGTACTCACTACTCACTAAACATGTACCTATTTTCATTAAATTTTAAACATAGAAGAACTCAAGGCAAAAATTAAATTACAATCTCGCAACAAATGGAATATAAATGTTGAACCTCACTACTGACAACATATTTACCTAATTTCAATATATTTTGAACAAAAATGACCATGAATAATAAATCAGTTTTTCATATTGCTGCCCATATTGAAAACCCGATTCAGACCCTAGAACAAACTGTGTGGAACACACACATAAATGAAATAAAATTAGAACCCTATCTCAGTCACTGTAAAGTAAGAAAATATCGAGTGCACTTTTCTAAACTAAGATTAAGTAACCATAAATTAAATATTGAACTTGGAAGACATACAAAGCCGACAACCCCACTACATCAGAGGCTATGCTCTACATGTTCAACCATTGATGACGAAAAACACTACTTACTTCACTGTATTAAACACACTCAAGAAAGAAATATACTCTTTGAAAAATTATCCAGACAAAATGTAAATGTAAATGTCCAGTCATGAAGACAAATTATTTCACTACATCCTGTCAAATAATGAAGCAGTCAATATCAACTGCATTTGTTTCCATATATATCATTTCAAACAATAAATACCCCTTCATAATCAACCGTTGACATTTTATGTACAATAATATCATCAAATATGTAATATTGATTGTTTTGTTTTTGTATGTGTCTATAGGAATGTAAATTATGTATGTCTGTATATATGTATATATGAATCATAATGTCTTGTCTTTTAAAATTGCAGCTGCCCTGTAATGGAACATTTCTGCAATAAATATTATCTATCTTATCATAAAGTTTCAATTTGATTGATTACTGTATGTGGTTTCTGGGGAGAAGATATTTACGACACTTTCAGTCAGGTGAGCTAAAAATGCAAGTCCACTTGTCTGACAGTCTAACATATCACACACCCTGCAGTCACATAGGAAAGCCCAAGAGGGGAGACACATAGTGCACGGATAACAGTTATCATCTCTCCTCAAAGAACCCCAAACCCCAAACCATGCCCCTCCCCGTTTAACGATATATGACCATTTTATCTGTCTCCTCTAGATGAAAAAAACCCTGAAAACACAAATGATAATCATGGGTCAGAAATAGCCTTAAATCCTCTCCCTTCCGTGTTTTTTATCAGCACACTGATTGAAGTGGCAATATTCCAGCAAGCCTCTGGAGCATTAAGATATGTGATAGAAACTCCCTCCCTCCCTGCCGAGGCAGTGCTAGATCACACAGCCCACAGCCTGGCATGGACTCTCCCCCCTGCCCAGCTGGACATATCTGGGTCTCACTACACCCTGGGGCTGTGAAAATGAAAATTAATAAAAAGAAACAGGCATCTGACTGTGAAACTGCCAAGGCCTACCTTTTTAACATGTTTGACAAAGAAAGGGGAATAGCCAGAAGGAAATAATCTAACACTATCCTTGAATCTAAGACTATCCTTGAATCTAAGACTATCCTTGAATCTAACACTACCCTTGAATCTATCACTATCCTTGAATCTAACACCATCCTTGAATCTAACACCATCCTTGAATCTAACACTATCCTTGAATCTAACACTATCCTTGAATCTAACACTATCCTTGAATCTAACACTATCCTCGAATCTAACACTATCCTTGAATTCTTTATACTTTCTTTTAGAAAATTCTTCTTTTAAGAACTTTTGCTATATACCAGTTACAAACATTCAAAGAATTTTATGCAGGCACATGTAATTCAGATTTAGTGAACAGTTAACAATATTTTGAGAAAGGTATATACTTTGGATACTCCACATGATGGATCTAACACTGATTCCACGTATTGACAATATGAAACACAATCTGGAGCTCTGATATATAAAATACCTTGACAAGCCATCTCAGTGGTACCATGAATCAAACCTAAGTTTACATATCATACCTTGAAGACAAGAAAGTAAAGTTTAGTTATCTGCCTCTACTATCACATTCACAACAATGACACAACACCAGGATCAAAAGCAACAAAATGAAAATCTTCAAAATAAGAATAATAAAAGGCAAAAAATTAAGTCTACAATCTGTCCAAACGTCTCATTTTGCCACAAAGTACCAACCCAAAGTACTTTGGAGTTACAGTAAGTCTTCATTGTTCAGTGCAAGAAACCCAGACAAGGTGCCAACCATTATCTAGATTGACTATGCCATGAAGACAGAGCTGCTAGTCACTGGAACTCATCAAGATCTCTGTCTGGACATATATTGACCATAATATCCATGGAATATGGCATTCAGCAGGGGGATCATTTCAGTGACTCTTTTTTAGTGAATAAAACGCTGGAATATACCGTTTCTCAAGAGATCAAGATCACTCAGCCAATCAATTTGACCAAGAGCTTAATTGGTAAAAAGGTTTATTCTGTGAGTGAGTGAGTGAGTGAGTGAGTGAGTGAGTGAGTGAGTGAGTGAGTGAGTGAGTGAGTGAGTGAGTGAAACATTTCATATGGCGCAAAAGGCAAAACAACAGTAAACATTATATGAATGGATCACTGAAAATCAGTGATGACACCAGGTATTTGCAAAAAAGGTAAGAATGTCCTGCCCTACCAGTAGCACCCACCACTCACACAATTTGCATAAAAAGTATATGTTTGTTGCCTGACGACGCACAGCAATACTGCCATGCCATGTAAGCCACTGACTGAACGCATGAGAGTACTGCTCCAGATTACTTCACAAGTACCTACTCTCCTGTCATCCCTACGTTCAAATTGATGCAAAAGAAAATGGCTGCCACTGAAATTTAAACATATTTTCCACAAAACTACTCACAATCTCTGGAGAGCTGGTCAGCCTCACATGCCGGCTACATCCGAAATCAGTCACTTGAATGTGTAGCCAGCATCTTGTTCATACATCTATTCTTAGCAGTGGCAACGAGGAGGGGTATCCCTCCTCTCCGAAACCTCAACCAAACTGATCCACAAACACAAATATCTTAACGGTTATTTAATTATCTGCTACATTAATCAAACATAATTGCTGCACAAACACCAATTATAAAATACCACACATATGCCAATACCTAGCTCCACTGTGTAATTTGTACCAATGACATTTAACATAATTGCTGAGAAAATATATAGTCAGTGTAATGGGCCTCATTATAATGATCATGGATGGTCCGGCCTCCATTTACATAGCTGTGGAAACAGAGCCTGTGTGTTCGGGCAGTGCAGTTCAAATATGTAGTGCATGTTTATGATTATTAATGATTGAATTACCGACTCAGAAAATAAATAGTCCATAATCACAGCTCCACTTAGAATACACATTTACATGTATTGCAATGTTGTTTTTTCCCATTGTACATGTTTAATGTTGGCATGACAGTAACAGTGCCTGGGATTATATTCTAGGGTAATTGGAGTCCCACTGCATCAGATTCCTTAAATTTGAGACAGCCTCCGTGGTCGAGTGGTAGAGCGTCCGCCCGGAGAACAGAAGGTCCGGGGTTCGATCTCCGGCCGCGTCATACCAAAAGACGTTAAAAGATGGTACTTGTTGTTACCCTGTCTGGCACTCGGCATTAAGAGGCTAAAACAAGGACTGGTCAGCTCGGAGTCAGTATACTGTGTCTGAGTGGGGTATTAATGTTAAACTGCGGCATGGTATCTCAGTGGGCTAGCACTATAAATCGGCATCAGTCCGGACTAGTACAAGCAGCCACGTGCATGCACGTCGCTATATAAATGCAATAATCTTGGATGCGACGTTAAACCCAATTTCACCTCACCTCACCTCACCTTAAATTTGAAGTGTTTTAAGCTCTTCCATCTTTTATATGTGTTTAGATATGGCCAGACTAATTCATTTTCTAGTTTTAAGTGAAGTAGGCACCAATATCCTGAATGCACTGCTCACTTAAATATGATACATTTCTTCAATCGAAAATAGATTTCAGTTTGTACTATTGTTGAAACCTTAATTAAATAGCATATATTAAATTAAAGAGATAGGTTTTGCTGGGCAATTTCCTGCCCTCAACATTCTGCCCCATTGTAAAGGTATAATCATTTAAGCATCCGAAACTTTCACTGATTTTCACTGAGAGTGGAAAAAAGAGAACTGAAGAAATTGTGATGCATCGCCTTGGACGAACAAAAGTCTCTGCTCCACCGTGTTTCAGCAGCGTTCTGGGTAGATACATCACAAGAATATAACCAACAGCTGTTGTCAGGGACATCCTACTTTAAACTATGCCGTCTGCCCTCTAGCATACCTGATTCAGATCTGTAGAGATCTGTTACGGATAAACAAAACCTGAGAGTTATAAGCAGCTCCATCTTTCATTAAATTTCCTTCTCTCCTGTCTAAAGAGCAGACATAATAAAGTGTGGCATCGAACAAGCAGTAGCGATGTAATTCAGACTCAATATGTTGGCACACTAAAGTATCCCTCCAGACTCCATGTTCTGACGTTTAGTCTGTTTGTATTTCTCCAGCATGGAGGTCTGAACAGGCTAATAGGTGTAATTTCTGTCTCTCATCTTGTGTAAACATATATCTGCAGGGGGAGGGGAAAAAGCATTTCCTCACAGCTTGAGATTTCAAGAAAATGGATTCTGCTAGCTGGAACAACTTGCAGGTGTCCTTGACACTGGCTGAACATAAAATATTCACACCTCAACCTGTGATTTTCTTTTCAACTGCAGAAACAATCAAAATGGCAATGGTTACCTCTTAAATTAATTTAACAAATTTGTGGAGTTGTGACCCCTGCCCATCTCCGTCCATCTTTCACATTTCGTTTCCGGAGCAAAACTTACCAACTGTTCCAAATTTCTTCAGGAAACTTTATATACGCATAGGGCATGGATTGAACTGATGTTGTTTGCTTTTCAGGAGTATTCAAAATTTATACATTTTGCTTTCCATGGCAATACTTTGGATTTAGTTAAAATGATGGTAGGGTTCATTTCTAGAACTCATAAACCATTCAATATATTTTCAGAAAACTTTGTTTATACATCAGGCATGCATTGAACGGTTGCCGTTTAAATTTGCTATTCAGGAATTTTCAATTTCTAATAACAATATTGTGTTTCCACAACAATTTGGACTTGAGTTCATATGTGTGTTGGGATTGTTTTTGGAGCATGATCAATAAAAAAATCCTATTTCTTCATGAAACTCTGAAAACACATCAGGCATGTGCTGATCTCGTGTCTTTTTCTATTCAGGTGCTTCATTGCAATTTCTAGATTCGCGTTTCCAAGGCAATAATAAGTAGTAACAACTGTCCCATTAATCCGACATGGTTGGTTGCAGTTAATTATGTCGGATTAACGAGTATGTCGGATAAACAAAATTAAGTAGTATCAGTGCTCGTAATCGAAAATCGGACAACTACACGAGAGAAAAAAAAGGTTAAAAAATTTCTTCATGAAACTTTATATACATATCAGGTATTTGACCACTTTCTAAATGGCATTGTGTATTCAAAAATAAGTTGGACTTGGAAATGAGGGTTACATTTTATTGAGCATTACTCATAAACCTTTCAATATTTCTTGATGAAACTTTGTATGCCCATCCTACATGACACATCTTCCTGAGGCAAGAGAGTTGGCTGACTTTAAAAGTCCAGTTTCCACCCTTGCCGAACTTGGCTGGAATTACTGGGCTCGATCGTAGCGCCACCAGTGGCTATTACCAGTTATGTCCCTTCTAAGCCTCTCCTATGGACCAATCAGATTCCACCTCTCGTATCACTTGCGTTTGCTTCACACAAAATGGTGGTGCCGAGTCAGGACAATCTGATCGATAATCAAGATCTATATTGTGATAAAAGGGGTCTTACATCCAGAAATGCATCAAATCACGTGTGCACCTTGATTAAAAACTTTAAAAGATCTTGAAAATATATGCTGACAATGAGTTGGCGGTACACATGCTTTGCAAATCATGCAATCGACCAAAACCTGCACAACAGTTTAAGAACCGGATTTCAATTGCGCGATTTTGATTGGGCTATGATGCATAGACTCGTCAGTCCAGCCAAAATGTAACTCCATAATACCAGCCAAGTTCGGCAAGGGTGGAAACTGGACTTTTATAGTCAGTTAACTCTCTTGCCTCAGGAAGATGTATATGACACAACCTTGTGGGACTGCCATGTTGATAGATCCCCAGTAACCTAGGTCTATTTTGAGAGGCAACAACATTGATATGGTGGTCATGCTTGGAGCCTTGGCTGATTGTGTAACATCATACCCCAACAGAGGGATGTGGCTGATTGTGTAACATCATACCCCAACAGAGGGATGTGGCTGATTGTGTAACATCATACCCTAACAGAGGGATGTGGCTCATTGTGTAACATCATACCCCAACAGAGGGATGTGGCTCATTGTGTAACATCATACCCCAACAGAGGGATGTGGCTCATTGTGTAACATCATACCCCAACAGAGGGATGTGGCTCATTGTGTAACATCATACCCCAACAGAGGGCCGTGGCTCATAAAACCGAGCTTATTAAAAACACAGGCACAGATCATAGATCAATTCAGGAATTTGGGGGCTATTTTGGAATTATGATATAGAGATATGGAATTATGATTGAAAATACTATATGTAACATTGCTTTATCAAATGAAAATGACTTTTTATTGAGAAGTACCATTACTTATCCATGTTCTTGAAGTTATTGAAAGCATTTAAAGAATAGAGTGATCACCTTGATTTAGTGATCAATGATAATGTCAGTTGTACTCACAAACTTGAGAAGTAGCCTTTTTTGGTATGAGGTATATATCTTTTTTGTGACTTGAGATTGAATACACATATTTAAAAGGCTGGAGATATATAGACTTTAGTCTACTTTGTTATTTTACCCAACGTAAACTAATTAATGTTTTCAGAAAAACACATAGGGCGTTAACGCCACAGTCTGCGTATCATTGAGACTCCAAATGTAATCATCATGAAAAAATGAACATCAGAAACAAAGAGATGTTGTATCCTGAGGCTTCCTCTTCAGTGCCTTAAAAAATCTGAGGCAATGTGGCTCCTCCACCATTAACAGTAACTTCCTGAAGCTCTTAAACATTCTTAATGTATCTTCAAATCTAGGAAGTTTCGTATCATTCATGAAATAATACACAGACAACTAGTCTAGACTTCACAAAATGTCCGTTTCAAAATATGACAAGCTATGGTTCCATATATGTTGTTGACATACACGCTAATGGCCGTTAAACAATGTGCTGCAACAAACTTGTATATAGTTTTCAATACATGCTTCCCCCAAGAGAGCTATTTTGTCCCCATGTACTACAGCTATGAATGTTTGCCACTGTGGATCAGCTGTCACCAATATGCATGGGCGTGACAGGTTCCAGTTCGGGAGGGGGTGGGGGATGTCTGCCATCACAGCTGTAACAAAATACATGAGGCCACTGTAACCTCACTGACAACTCTCCGTGTAGACTAACATCTAGTCTCTGAAATGAACATATCATACAGAAAAAACAGTTGTTCAGTTATCTTAATAAAAATATAATAAAAGGGAGCCCAGTGACTCTCTTCATTTTCAGATACTACAGTAATATAGACTTGCCTAACATTATAGACTTGCATGGGCTATATTTGATATATATTTGTATCAGGGTCTGTAAGACAAGACAACTCTCCGTGTTCCAGACACTCAACACAGGTTCATTCTGTGATAGAAAGCAGTTTACAGCAAACAAAAGAAAAACCATAGACTCACATCTAGCCTTAATCCTGCACCATGATGGTGGATATATGTATTTTATAAAAAAAAACAATCTAGAAACACATACAAAAGCAAGTCTAGCCAGCTCTAGCTAGCTCTATTCCACATATGAAATTAGTCTGTCTTACAGACCCTGATACAAATATATATCAAATACAGCCCATGCAAGTCCATAATGTTTGGCAAGT